AGCGTTGATTCTAAGGTATGTTACATCGTTCATCACTTTCATAGATCGCGCAGGGATTTATCAAAAGGTAGAATCGAACGTTTGTTCAATGCATATTTCAGATAACAGTTTATCAAGTAGTAACTGAATTCACCTATAATTTCTATTAAGTACTAAGGATGATTTTAAAAGCAGTTGGTTGATTAGTTATGTTAAATGGAGCTCAATGGATCGATTACAGTATCCACCGTTTGAGAAGATTAACGGTTGCTAAAGGATAAGACAGTGCCAGGTAATTTTTCAGTACGCGAAAGCCTTTATAAAACGAAAGGTAGAATCGTATCGTGATTTTAGAGCTAAAACTATATGACAAATGTGATCGTTTTTCTCTCTCTAACGCGCAGAAGATATATTGATGATCAAAAACAATAATCGAGACATTAATAATAACATTAAAAATAAGGAACGATGGTTGCGGTTAATACGTTGAAGCAAAATTATCAATCGTTGAGGAAAGAAAGTCTACTAAAAGTTTGCATGATTCTTAAAAAATCACAGTTAAAAAAATCAGTTTTATATGTTTGTTTAGAATTAAAAACCGATAACCAGGATGACATACATGGGAAAGCTTCAAGAGAGTAGTACAATTTGTTGTTTTATCAATGCATGTCTAAAAAAAGTTTTGATAAAATAATATTGTTCAAAAAAAGGATACATCTACGTGTAGTATTTAATATTAACGGCTCAACAAAATAAATTATGGCAGAAATGTTTCTAGTTAAATGTAGACCTTGTCAGGATAAACTTTTATCGCGAGCCAGAAATAAGAAAGAAAGGAAAAAGAAAGGGATCATACGCTTTAGTTCTTAGACGCTGATGAAGATAAGCTTGGACTGGATACTGAAGGACAATCGCAGAAACGTATTATACATCTCCACAAAGTATGAGTGAAATTGTGATGATGCTGAGAGAACTGAATAAATAACAGCAAAATAAAATATAGCTTTCTGAAAAAAAAAACTCATTTTTTTCTATCCAACACTTTATATTACTGAAATCAAAGAACTAATCCGAAAGAAAACTATGGAAAAAAACATATTACTCACCTCGTTATTGATGATTGCATTTTCTTCAAGTTGATTCATTAATAATAATAAAACACTTTGAATGAAACCAGTTGTGGAGGCAGATATATCAGGAATGATATTGAATTACTAACTGTAAATAAAAAATAAAGAAAAAGGAGAAGAAGTAAGATATTACTCACCCAATCATTGATGATTGAATTTTATTCCACTTGATCCACTACGAATGATAATAAAACACTTTGAATGAAACCAGTTGTACAGTCAGATATATCAGGAATGATATTGAATTCCTAACTGTAAATAAAAAATAAAGAAAAAGAATAAAAAGTAAGATGCCACTCACCTCGTTATTCACGATTGAATTTCGTTGATCTTGATTCATTAATAATAATAAAACACTTTGAATGAAAACATACGAAGAGTCAGACATATCAGGAATAATATTGACATCATCTGAATTACTAACTCTAAAGAAAAAATAAAGAAAAATAAATAAAAAGTAAGATATTACTCACCTCGTTATTGCTGATTGAATTTTGTTCAACTTGATTCACTAAGAATGATAATAAAACACTTTGACTTGACCCACTTGAAGAGTTAGATATATCAGGAATGATATCGAAATCAATTCAATTACTAATTCTAAAGAAAATATGAAGAAAAAGAATAAAAAGTGAGATGCCACTGACCTCGTTATTCACGATTGAATTTTGTTCCACTTGATTCACTAAGAATAATAATAAAACACTCTGATTTGAACCAGTTGTGGAGTCAGATACATAAAGAATGATATTGAATTACTAACTGTAAATAAAAAATAAAGAAACAGGAGAAAAGGTAAGATACCACTCACCTCGTTATTGATGATTGAACTTTGCTCGGCTTGATTCACTAAGAATGATAATAAAACACTTTGATTGGAGCCAGTTGTAGAGTCAGATATATCTGGAGTGATGTTGAAATCAATTGAATTGCTAATTCTAAATAAAAAATAAAGAAAATAATGAAAAGTACCATATTACTCACCCTATTATTGCTGATTGAATTTTGTTCATCTTGACTCATTAAGAATGATAATAAAATACTTTGATTAGAATCAGTTGTAGAGTCAGATATATCTGGAATGATATTGAAATCGATAGAATTGCGAATTCTAAAGAAAAAGTAAAGAAAAAGTAAGATATTATTCACCTCGTTATTGATGATTGAATTTTGTTGATCTTGGTTCATCAATAACAATACTAAAACACTTTGATTGAAACCAGATGTAGAGTCAGATAAATCAGGAATGATATTGAAAGCAATTGAATTACTAACTCTAAATAAAAAATAAAGAAAAAGAATGAAAAGTAACATATTACTCATCCCGTTATTGATGATTGAATTTTATTCCACTTGATCCACTACGAATGATAATAAAATACTTTGATTGCAACCATTTGTACAGTTAGATATATCAGGAACGATATTGAAAGCAATTGAATTACTAACTCTAAATGAAGAATAAAGAAAAAGAATAAAAAGTAACATATTACTCATCCCGTTATTGATGATTGAATTTTATTCCACTTGATCCACTACGAATGATAATAAAATACTTTGGTTCAAACCAGTTGTGGAGTCAGATATATCAGGAATGATATTGAATTGCTAATTCTAAATAAAAAATAAAGAAAATAATGAAAAGTACCATATTACTCACCCTATTATTGCTGATTGAATTTTGTTCATCGTGACTCATTAAGAATGATAATAAAATACTTTGATTGGAACCATTTGTGGAGTCAGATATATCAGGAATGATGTTGATATCAATAGAATTACTAATTCTAAATAAAAAACAAAGAAAAAGGAGAAAAAGGCCGAAAAGTAAGATGCTATATATGATATTGCTAATTATTTGATAATGTTGACTTTGTATAAATAGTGGAAAACAAATACGGCGATGTTAAACATATTTTAAATAGTAATGCTGAAGGACTGAGATTGATTATATTGGATAAGTATTAGAATAAAGGAAATACATTTAAGATAAATTATATCGCTTTACTATTGACTTAATCACATCAACGATTTTGTTGGATTAACGAAAATACTAAGAAGAAAAAGGAAAAACATCGATAGAAATATTTCTTTGGAATCTCTAATTTAATATATTGATTGAATATTGTAATTTTAGATGATGATGAAATAAATAATATTATATTTAGGTGATCTTAAAATTTTTATATTTCTTATGTTACATGTAAATGAGATAGATAATGAAAATGAAAAATTAAATTAAAAAGTAGTCGATCACATTTTGATGAAATGCAAATGAAAGGTACACATTAGATAAAAGGAAATAAAATAATAAAAGATTGATCACGTTAAGAGAAAATATTAAATGAAAAGTGCATGATAAAGATGAAGAAATAGAGATAAAAAAGGATTAGTCATCTTTTTAAAAAATGAATTTCTTCGAGAATACAAATTATTATCTCTAACGTTGTTCATGAGATATGAGAAATTAAATATATTAAGATCAAATCCGTCGTTGACGTTTGCTTTGACGCGTATTAGATGATGAATTTGTAAGATCAGTGAGTGGCTTATGTTTCTGAGAATCGATTATATGTTGACTTTGTTCAGCATCAAATGAACATGAGTTATTATCAGTATCAATAGTTCGATTTCTTTTCGGACGTTTTCGTTGTTGTGTTGTATTTTGTTGTGAATTCAAATCTGATGATGATGCAACTTCGACAAGATTATTACATCTATATGAAAGAAAATTGTCAGCTAAAGGTTTAATTGATTAGAAAAATGTCATTTACTCATTTGTATTATTAAATGTTCTTGAACTTGAATCAACAATATCTATTGAATCATTTTCTTCTGTTGTTTGAGTAACAATTGAAAGATCACGCCTATCTAAAGGATTACACTGTTCAGTAATTTGAACATGAGATTGAGATTCTTGAGATTCATTGATAACTTTTGTTGAAATGTTTGACATAGAATTTGAAGAATTTAACGATGACTGCTGTTGTTCGGAATATATATCAATATTATTTTCTTTAATAAATATACGAATAGAATTCGGTAGAAAACGTTTGTCACCATGTAAGACCGAATATATAAGACGAATTGTTCGACTTTTTTTGTTGAAACTTAATTCAAAAATTGTGTACATTGAAACTAATAATGCCAATGCATCATCAGGCGAATTAGTTGAGACAATAAGATGAAAATCAACATAAACATGAATTAAATCATTAACACATACCAAAGTAGGATATGGTGTGAATGGTTCCTAAAAGAAAAATATTCAATATGTATTATATTATTATGATGAAGTGAAGTTCGATTTATACACGTTTTCCTGAATCAGTGAGTCAATTATTACTTACAAAAAAAGTAAATATAATACTTACAGTATCACTAAATATGTGTTGAATAGTTTCATCAAATTGTCGGCACAACGTTTTGATTAATTGAATTGGAAGTGAATCTGAAATAGTTGACAATTCTTCAAAACATAAATTTGAAGTTGATAATCTACCTGTCACGAACATTGGAGTTTTAACTATTTTGTCGAGTAGGATAGGTACTTGTCGTCGAATTGCAGCACTCAAATCGATTTTCATTAGCATTTTAACCTCTTCAAATACCTGTGACAAAAATAAATAGATATATTTTATACATAAACAAAAAATAATGCATTGGCTTACAAATATTGAATTAGAATAACGTGGAAAATCTTTGAGAATATCAATAGTTGATCGATCTCTGACCAATTTTCGACGATAAGGTAAAGTTTCTTTCCATAATTCCAATTGAGTATTGATATCAATATCAGTTGTATCTCGAAGTTGTTCAGATTTTGTTTGAATTTCATTGGATAATTTATCATCGAATGATACCACTATCATCTACAAGTAAGTGAATGAAATAAAAAGAAGACCTATTGGTTCTAACATACTTGTTTATATCTATCACGTTGTGCTGTCTCACCAAGCTGTCGTTTTACAGGACGACCAGAACCTGATTTCGAATACTTCAGTTGATATTCTTGTACAATACTATTATCACGATGTTCAGTTCGTTTACGTTTTAACTTTGTTTGTAAAGCATCCTTCCAAATTGCCTAAAGGAAAAGAAAATAAAGCAGTATATTGTCATTAAGTAAACTTACAATATTTTGTTTAGTCACAGGTAATTTCAAAAGCTTTACAATAGCAGTACCAATATTATCAAATTGTGTATGAGATGGATAGCTAATTACAAAAGAGAAATATTTAACGAAAAAATTGAATATACAATCGGATAATAAAAATAACTATTGTTTAACCAATTTTGAGCAAGATTATATGAATTACTTTAGATATAAGAACTTGATTCACATTACAAGTAATTTAGAACGAAACAACTTTAATAAAATAAAACTTTTCCATTGTATTAAATGTTTCATCATCACAATCAATTTACTCAATAGGTTCAAATATTGCCATGTATGCTCAAGAAAAATTATTTCTCGTAGTGATTTATAAGGTGTTTGGAAAACTTTTCCATTTATGTTTTACAACAAAGATTGTCAGTCTGATAGATTAAAGATCCAGAATCAATTGAATGAAATAATATATGAAGTCCTGAATGTATATACTGAATTATTAATATTGATAAAGGAAATCACTCATTTAAGTTTCTTATAAATATACATATCGTAGAACAATATAACGAATCGATTTGTGATACTAATAAAAAAATGATTATATATATATATATAAATATGTCCATATTTTCAGTAAATATCTATACAATTTCACTTGATATTATATAACTTACAAAAGATTGAACTTGTCAATAAGATCATAGACTATTGTATCAATAAGAATTTGACGATTGGCGCAATGCGGGCCAAAGTGTTTCAAATCTCCTTTTGTAATATCATTCAGTAATGCATTGGGTAATGTTGGAATTATATAATTGCTTGGTAAAGGTTCATGTATTTCTTGTTGAATAACAGATGGTTCAGATGATGACTGAATAATAGATGGTTTTGGTAAAACGTCGAGTGTTGATCGAGATTCAAGAAATAATGCTTGCGAATTTGACGAAATGGGAGACGATGGTTGAGAATTTGTTGTAATGCTAAATGATGAATTAGAAAATTCAACTGAACAATCACTAATCTTTTTGAATAACTTTTCACGTTCCTCCAAGAAAATTAATTGCTGTTTAAATTTTGGAATAACTGCAGATATTCGTTCGACGGTGCTCATCATTTCCAATGTTTTACCGTCAATATCATGTGCTAAAAACAAATAACAATAATCATGGCTTAATAAATGATCAAGTAAAATATCTTCTTTTATCAAAAACATAAAGTCCACCACTCTATCAAGGTACGATAAATACTTTTTCAATATAATGCAAAAAAGAAACAACAATAAAAAAAATATGCTTTATCAGAAAAAACAATTAAAAGTATATCAATACATAATGTTTCAAAACATATGTTTATAAAAGTTATAGAATTCCATAGATGTTCATATACTAATCCAATTTTACATATTCTTTCAACTGAAATGTATCCAAGATATACTTTTTCAAATCATCAAGGACAAACAACTTGTAAAATTTCTGATCAAAAGATACAATTGACACTATCCATAAACTTTAAAAAAATATATACGTTTCTTTTCCTGTTATGATCTGACACTTATTTCGTGCATAAATAAAATAAGGGGAGGAATCGAAGTTAAACAGTTGGATTATATGATTTTTATGAAAAACATAAATGTTTGAAACATTATCTATTAGATATTCTTTAACATGAAGTAAGACGAGCAGTGAACGAAACGAAGCTGGAGTTCCTCAGTTGGTAAATGTCTAAGCCTTTATAATAATATCTTAATTGACATGGATCGATAATGGAATAATGGTCAATTGATTTAATTTCCCATGCAAATAAATCTTCATTATATGCAATTGTATTTAATAAGTCCATTAATAACCACCATTTCTGATCTATTTTAATGATGAAAACAACTTGAGCAAATATTGGTTGTTCATTAAAATGTAACAAATCTATTACGTAAACAGCCGATCGACAATATTCGATAGTATCATATATCAATCTATGACAAATTATAATATTGTCATCCAGTTCATTCCATCCAAGATCATTCACCAATAACTTTTTCATTGCCGTATTAAAACATGTTGTTCGAGTTTTCTTTACTCCAACTGGATAAATTAAATCTTTTAATTGACATAAATAATGAGATTTAAAACATTGTTTAAGACAATAACGTGTAGCAAGTGTTTTTGCCACATTTTTAAAATTATTCGTTCTCATCATAATCTTTTTAAAGTACAGATGAGACGCCTCATATCTTAGACACCAAGTTTTAATTGGTGGTCCATAGTCATGTATAATCTTTTGATACTCCCGTACAAAGTGAACCTTAGGAATCATTTTCATCGGAAAGTATGTTAACATTTCTAAATGGAATGATTCACATAGATCACCAATAACTGGTAGCCATTGCTTTCTGAATGGATATGACAAAACTAGGTCTAAGATTTCCCTCAAAACTCGATAGACAATGTATGCTGGTAATTGAGGAACGATGTCATAGAATATGATAGGAAAAACTTTGAATAAACACAACTTTTGTGTAGCAGTTGCAACAATACGGTCGTTTTGAAGATGTTTCACTTGTATTGGTGGTGGCCGATTGTTTTTGTCAAAGTATCCGTAATTGAAATTCTCCATACGTTTTTCAATACCAGCTTCATAAAAAAAAGAACACAATAACATAGACGAATTTAGTATCATAAAATTATTCAAACGATAGTCTAGGATCTCTTCTAATTATTCTTTCCATATCATAACTATCAGTCATAAGAAAAAAGAAATACACTAGAATTGGTCTTGATGGCATAGAGCAAAATTTGCTTTTGTATTATTTACTAGAAATTGATTTAAAAAAAAATCTTACTAGATATCGTTATTCTCTTATATTACGTTAATCTCTTTGGAATACAACGATAAATGTATGAGAAGGACAGATGTGAAACCAATAACAGTGTTTTCATCAGCTTCAAAGGTAAATATCTTTCGACGTATTTAGGAAAAATGGAATTAATTTTACAAATTACAAAATTGTTAAATAACTAATCGAAAGATTTTTCGTTGCTGTGTTTCTTATGAATTCAACATCATCTCTTTAAGTTGATTTTACAATTTGAGTAAATAGAATAATGACACACAAATATCTTTCGAGTTTTTTAAAGTAATTCACTATGTATAGGAAAGAATGGTGACATTTTTTAAATTGGTATATGTAAATGCTTGCCAAATACTGTTTAATGTATGTCTGAAAATTTAATGAATACTCAAAGAACGAGAATTAAATTACTTTATACAGAATATTGTTTAACTATGGAATGATAGTGGCAAGTCTTCTCTATCAGACAGTAACTTAATCAAATGAAAATATAAAAAAAGACTTAGATTAATTTTCATTTAGTTTTGAAAAAAGATCTATGACAAATTAATGATGATAAGACTCATAAGATATACGCAAACAAAAAGCTTTTTCTCACCATATGTGATCAAACGCATTGACGAAGCTTGTTTCAATAAACACATTATAACTAACGGGCACACGCCCTCTAAGAAATCATGCATGCAGTCAGAAGGTAAAGAAGTTGTTGGGTGAAAACCAATAAGAGTATCAAATAGACTAGGACCAATAACACCTTTAAGTGGAGCTTTACCAGGACTTTGAAGAAGCTCATGTACTAAATCATCATGATCGTTTATCATTCGACTATTGATCTCAGACAATGGAATTGTTAAATTTCTATCATCATATTTAATGTAGCAACGACGGCAGAAGTATCCGTTGCTGAAACAGGTTTGGAATCCCCCAACCAAGTGAGCAGCAAGATTGTCTGCAATGAGAGTTGAAACCGAGAATTTCAGATGATCACCCTTGATAACAAGTCCATGAAATTGTAATTGATTTAAATTATCAATTATAGGTTGCAAAAATTGTTTAGCTTTCATTTTGTCCTCAAAAATGAAAATAACACATGCTAAAAATTTTTCTGGTTTCATACTATTTCTACGATATACTATGGAGCTAAATTTTTATCTAATATATTTCTTATAATACAAAATAATGCTATCTGATTAATTTCTACAAAAATAAAATAGTACTTCTTACAAATAGAAGTTCGTTCAATCTCATTTTTAAACTATGAAAATAACTGCTCAATAGAAAAGCTATCATTTATCAATTAGTTTTCAAAATGAGGTTTACCTTCAGGATGTAACTTTCACAAATACCAACCAAATAAATATAATCCAGTTTAGATCTGTATTTATGAGGAATGTCTTCGAGTGTGTAATATATCATACTCATTTTGTGATTATCACGTTTTGGTCCGATAGGATTAGTAAGACTAATATCATCTAAATATAATTGAATTAATAAAGTTTCTTCATCTAATTTGTTGCCATAATATGCATCGCGAATTGAGTACATCAAATCTTGATCAATTTCTGCGGCCACACGTTGTTGTTGAACTTCACGAAGAATTTCAACAAGAAATGGTTTAGAATGCAACATCAACGATAAAGATCTTTCAAACGGAATGAAATAAGCACGTTCTACATCTTCATCTACAGATGATATAATAATTTCTTCTGGAGGTGTATAACCAAAATGTTCTTGACAAGTTTTAATTAGTTGATATTCATTTTTACTAATAGAGTCGATTGATTCACATATACTAATCAATATATTCTTCAACTGTTCACATTCAATAACTTTTGTTCGTGTTTGAAAAGATGTTGCTGAAGTTTGACTACAATCTGTATATGAAAAACAACCATTCTTTTCGGATAAGATTTGAATATGTTCAATTAAACTAATAATATAATTAGAGATCATATTAGTAATACTCTTTGGTAGTAGCATTTGTTCACGTAAATTTAGAATAAATGAAATATAGCTTCTTTTGATATCAAGAACAGATCCAGAATTATTTTCATCATTATCAAATGACTTGAAGTATGATGCAAACGGTAATGATGTTGTTTGATATTCATCTATTTCGAATGCTGATTCAAGTTCATCATATAAAAAATTTGAATTGTCATTTTCATTATCATCAACATTAGGATTTATCATATCTAAATCAATACTTGAACCAGTACTTTTATGCTCTTGATTGTTGATGAGATTATCATTGATGTTATTATTGTTGTTATTTTTCGTCATCGAATAAAGTTCACCGGAATGTCGACGATAAATATGAGACTTGTAAGCCGCAAATGTACGGTACAAAACACCACATGTTTGTTGTAAATCACAAGTAATACTGAAGTTGGAGTCATTCTGATGGTAAACAGTCACATGACGAAACATTTTAGAAAAACAGTCAAAATTTCGCTCAGTTGAACAGAGTGGACAAATAAACGATGACATGAGATATCGATGTAAAAGATACAAGATAATGGTAAAAAATCTTGTTCAATGTATATATAAAAGGAATAAATACTATTCTTATATGATAGTTGTTTATTTATACTTTATGATTGTTTTCTAAGCAAAATGATAAGCTATTTATAAACCAATCAAACAAAAACAATAATCACTATTTCATTCTTTTCTTTCGTATACCAAGGAAAGAAGCATGAGAGAAGTTATCGTTTAAAAAGAAAAAGAAAACAAACATTTCTAACTATACTATATTAGATATGGATCTATAAGAAATATGATTACATGTCAGATACAGGCTATTCGCTGATGATTAGCTTCAACCAATCATGAAAAAAACAGTTTTTCTACTAGACAAAAACAAACTGACCTTCTATTCGAGATAAGATTGAATCATCATCCATAAATGATTTGCACCAATTAATAACCTGTTCAGTAGACCAGTTCATTATACGATAATTGATTTTTTTGAAATTGAAGACAAATATTGTCGATATAATTATTCAAAAAGCATCATCTAAAAAATATGAAAACACATACAATATTCTAAAAAACAATAAGACTAAATACGTTTCATTCCTTCAACTAACTGATGTTTGCTTCTTACATATTTCGTTTAATCATAAAAAAGTTTTGATAGAGGGTATTTGTAAAGATGAGGATCGTATATTTCTGTTTATTCGTAGAAAGACGTACGCTATATATGAGGGAGTGAATCAATTCTAGTTAGGATATTTTCAAAAAGGGATCAGATTGCTTGTTTATTTTAATGAAATATAATAAGAAGATAATGGAGAGGAGAAGAAACGCCACTCTGGAAATATGTGGGAAAATATGGAGTTTATATAGGGAGGATGATCACCTAGATCCAAGTGAAAGATATTAGATAGATGAAATATCTATGTAAAAGATATTACATTGATGATATATCTGGATGAAAAAGATATCATACATCGAGGTAACAAAGAAACAAATAAGCAGTACAACATAGCAAAGAGATCACACGAACGAGATGAAAGGAAAAATCCATGAACGATGTGGAAGAGAGCGAGAACCCATATAAAAGATGGTAATGAATCATGCTATGTATATATATGATAACAGAACGAAAGAATATATATATACATATATATATATATATGACGTAAGAAAGAAATGAAAAATAGATAATGATATCACCTGACATGTTATCGATTAGTAATATGTTAAATTCTTGTATCGCTATGTTTGTAACTGGCTTTTTGCTTAATCCTTAAAAGCCAAACATCCATTCCAATGGACACTCTTATAACTTTAATAAAACATGTAATATAAGTCTATATAGAGAATCCAGTGCTTTTTTGAACTGGGATGACCTGAATTATCATAATAAGAAACAAAACTCAATCAAAAGTGACTTTCCAACAAAAAAATGGAACTTTCAAAAGGTACTACTATTGAAAAATTAGTTTTTTATTTTATAAACTTCGTGGATTTACCAATATATGATGAAACTTTGTTTTTTTGAGTGATTTTATCTTACAACCCGTCTAACTATCACATGAAACTATTTCATAGAACTTCAAGCAATTTATTGATGACTTACGATGTCTTCAAGTGAATGTCCACTGAAATGGACATTCTATATCCCTGTATGAAAAAAGAATTTATTCTTTTGACTGTAATATAGTCATATTGAGGGTCCAAAAGCTCTGTTCCAATGATCAGTTGCTTCTTATTATCACCTGAACCTTCTTCGGCTTTTAAGGGTTAATTATAAAAAAGACATACATCTTGTATCTGACAATCTTCTCGCTGTATTTCAAAGGGAGGCGTAGATGGTGCACATGATCACCTTCAGAACTAAACTTTTCTTAATCTCTTACAAATATATATTTGTGTCATCATTTAATCATACTCCAAATGATACTCTACATGAAAAAATTTCCTATAAAGGATGTTTAAAAAACAGTTAACCTATTGCACTCTGTTATGTATAAGAACAAACCTTTCCGATAAAGCAATATTATGATAAACTCTTTCATGTATCTGAATAAACCGTTTGAAAAGGCGTCAGCGTATAATGAACCTTTTTACGTATTTCAATAAACCCTTCAAAAGGAGTCAGAGTATGCTAAATCCTTTTACGTATTTCGATAAACCATTCAAAAGGAGCCCGAGTATGCTAAACCCTTTTACGTATTTCAATAAACCATTCAAAAGGAGCCAGAGTATGCTAAACCCTTTTACGTATTTCAATAAACTCTTCGAAAGGAACCAGACTATGCTAAATCCTTTTACGTATTTCAATAAACCATTCAAAACGAGCTAGAGTATGCTAAACCCTTTTACGTATTTCAATAAACCCTTCGAAAGGAGCCAGAGTATAATGAACCTTTATGAAATGAAAAGGCATTGGATCAACCTTTGGGCAGCGTAAAAACTACCCTTCGAAATATAAGAGTATAGAAGGCAATGTGCGTTAGTAGAATAATCAACGCTTATGATTTAAAGCATACAAAGTACAACTCTTTCCGTACAATAACATTCCCTTTTGCTTCAGACATAAAAACCGTCATGGTTGAACGTTGAATGATCAACGGCTCGAAAAAAAAGATCGGAGACTATACCTTTAGGTGTAGAGTAATAAACGGTTCTATGGAAGAGTAGAATGCTATTCTTTAAGGGACAGCAAAATGTATCCTTTTGAAGAAAAAGTAGAATGCTGAACCTCACAGCGGACAATAAAATATCGTTTTCTTGAGAACAAATAGTGATGTCCGGCAATCAGTTGAGTAGTATGCTCTTTTAGCAAAACCGTAGAGTGGCTAACCTGTCTATGACGTTCATATACGCGTTGATTTTTAATGAACCCTTTGCCTGATAAACGGCTTTACTAATAAACCATTTTAGGGTAGTTCCCAGCGGCATAAACCCTTCAAGGGTTTATCAACGTAATTTTTAAAGGCAAGGATAGGTAATTATCTGGATTTTTTTTTCAGTGTAGACCCTAATAGACCCTGGTAGACCCTAGTAGACCCTAATAGACCCTGTAGACCCTGATAGACCCTAGTAGACCCTAGTAGACCCTGTTAGACCCTAGTAGACCCTACTGGACCCTAGTAGATGCTTATAGACTCTACTAGATAGAGTTCAGTTATAAATAAGAATATACATGATATCATATATATATATATATATATATATGATATTATATACAATCTATAATATATATAATGGAAATAAAGGGATTGATAGAACAATTAAACGCGAGAAACAACAATTGATAAACGGATATAACTAAAATATATAACTACATTTTATTGAAAATTTGAATTATTTTGTAATTCATTTCCGGCATGAACTCGTCGGAGTGGTTCTCCTAACTTATGATCTTTTGGATTATAATAAAGATGTGGTAACTCGGCATCTTGTGGATTTAGTTTTAATTTATCAAAATACTTACCTGGCAGTAAATTCTTATTTATTAAATTTCTTAATAACTCTTCAGTATTTTTTATCATATTTCCTAATGGAGACTGCTCTATTTCAATATATGCGTCTGTTTTTTGCATATATTCGATCGATTTCTGTATATAAATATGTGGTTTTCCTACATGGAATACTTTAGATTTATCTGTCTGCCTGAAAATAATTCGACCCTTTTTTGTTCACTCTGAAAATGTCTTAAAGTTCTTTCTATATTTTTATCCATTGATTTTTCTGTATTTATTGTCATTCGTAATTCATTTTCTAATCGATTTGCAAACTGTTCTACTATTATTGGATTTCTACCTATTGTACGAGTTTCTCGTCTCCATGCTTCTCCTACCTTATCTTTCAGAGTACTAATCTCTTTACTCAATCTATGTAATGCTTGTTTTGGATTTGATGGTACAAATTTTGGCCCAAAATTTAATATTCTTCTTTCCTCATCTGTCATAACTAAAACATTATTATTCGCCTGTGGCGGATATCCTAATGGTGTGTAGTGTCTATGTAGATTTTTAACTCGACTATTTCGCATTACTCCATTAACTACTTTTCTATTATTTTCTGTACTTTTTTGTCTAAAAAATTCAATTTCTTTCGAACTAAATTGTCTTGTCGTACCTGAATCGTATGTATTAACTCATTATATGCTGCTCTGACTCCTACCGGTATTTTCTCAACTAATTCTATATGTTGTTTCTCACTCTTCTCATTTTCTGTTTTTTTTCCCACTCTCATTATTGATGTCAAATCTAATTTGGCCTTACGTAATACATTATTCCATTGCTCACTATATTGCGCTTTCATATCATTATTCAACTCCTTACTATGAAACTCTAACTTGTCTAAAATATTTAATGCCGGTGGTGGCATATTCTCATTCAATCTTCTATCTAATTTATCTAACTGATATTTTAATTGTAATGTGCGTTCAAATCGATTTCTAGCTTTATCTATCATCTAATTCTAACTGACTACATTTATTTCTAATTGTTCTCAATGCTCGTTCTTTTATTTGATCTAAAATCAAATTATCTAAACGTTTTCTATTTGAATTCTTTAAAATATCTATTAATGGTTCGATACTATTTTTAACATATTTTATAACGATATGATGCTGCTCTCTATTGATTTGTGTCATGATTTCATCTAATTCTTTTTCAGCTTGTAAAGCTTTTTTATTTAAAAATTCTTTATGTCTCATGATATTGTCAGAATTAGCTACTAAATGAAATTGTTTTAAATAAAATTTACATTCTATTGGTATTACTGGAAAATCAAACAATATTATTTCTGTGTCTTTTGAAATTACAGAAGGCGAATGTCTCATTTCTTCTTGTTCCATAGGTACGATACGTTCATTTGCTACTATTGTAGCTTGTGGTATTATATTTATGTGAGGGTGCATTGCATCGTCCTCTTGGTGATATTTTTCGAACGGTCGTGGTGATCTAATCGGTGACTGGGGTGTACTTTGCCGTGGACTGAGCTGCGGCAGTGCTGTTAGGCATGGTAGGCCTGGTGGTGTTCTGGGTAAAGTCGGGGAAACTATTTCTATCGAATGAGTGACTATTCGATTTGGTGGTTCGACCCTCAGTGGTTTAGCTAGGGTGTGGGTGTGGGTGTGGGTGTGGTGTGTGGGTATGGGTGTAGATGAAAGACAAGTACTACATTCATATCCACACGCACACCCACACCCACACCCACACCCACACCCACACCCACACCCACACCCACATCCACACTTATGTATATCTTCTTTTAATTTATATGGATACCGGATATTATTTAATCAACCAAGCAATTATCTTATTATTATCGTGTTAATGTTATCGATCAAACTTATTGATTAAGATTCAAAAATGATCGAACAATTTCAATATTCTTGTTGATTCTTCTTATGGTATCCGAAATGATTGAACAATCTTCTTGGATATCACTTACTTTACGTATGTTCTTGGTGATCTTTCTTATGGTATCACTTACGTTACTTATTTTATTGACTTATGGTGATGTTTGAAAGAGACAATTAATCTGACTTTTTCAAAAAAAGAGAAAAAAAAGAAGAAACGAAGAATAATTTGTTTTTTCTTTACTGATACACGTGTAATACATATTTCTGGAATATGGAATATTTAATATTTTTTATTCTGTCTCTATATACTTTTTGATACAATGTTTGTCTGCATCATCAGATGTCTTATATTTTATTTTTGTTTTTACTATCCTATTATTGTTTGTCTTCTTCTTAATAACTATCCTATTATTGTTTGTCTTCTTCTTAATAACTATTCTATTATTGTTTGT